GCCCTCTTCATCTATAGGGAATTCTTTATTGCCAGGGAATATTTTTTTAACTAATACAATGGCAAAAGTGGGGGTGGGGGAGTCTCTTTGTCCAGGAGGGAAAAAGCCCCCCACCCCTCCACACACACACATGCACAAGTACACTGAGCTGAGCTTTGAGAGCGCTTTAAGTTAAACCAGTGGCTCTCTTGGTTCCTGTTTATTGCCCCTGGAAATAGATGCAGATACAGGCTTGAGGCATGAGTGGGTGCATATGCATCTTAGGCAGATAAGGGGCTGTAGATGCTTCCAGATGAGGAAGGCAGGTGGGCATAAGGTGCAGGATCAGCGTCGAAAACCCCGGGCAGAAAAGGGAACCCAAACTACACAGCTATGGAGGCCAGAGGCCCATAACCAGTCCTTCACCATCTATCTCACTCCTCTATGTGAGCCTGGGAGTGCCTGTTGATTTTCCAAGATATAACTGTTGTTTTGGCGGGGGGAGATGGGGATAGTGGTGCTGATAGTTGTAAATCTCTTCTCTTCCTTATTTGCACCTTAACATTGACCTCTCCCAAGGCGGTGGAAAACTTTTTCAACTTCCTCTTCTTTCCACATTGAGATTTTTTTTTTTTTGAGGGGTGGGGTGGGGTTGTTGATGGCCATGTAAATAAAGCATTAATTTATTAAACAATGATTGGACTAGAGGAAGATTTCTCCCTTAGATTCTCTGGGTTGCCAGCTCCCCAGGATGGGTGGTCCCCTGGAGGGGATGGAGGATGGGTTGCTCTAGCTTTGTGGAGAAAGGGAGGCACTGGGGAGAGGGATTGTGAAACCCTAGTGTAGAACTGGGGGTTCATGGTGTCCAGGTCGTGGTCCTCTGGAGTTTTTGAATCAATTAAAGCAAATAATGCTCTCTGTTTTCCACCAGGCCCAGGCGAGCGATTGGCCGAGGCCGGTCCCGTGACCATGAATTCCCTGCAATTTCGCCGGAGTGCTGGGTTTAATAGAGAGAGTCCCCATACGCTTGTATTTATCAGCAATATACAATTATAAAGGCCCAAAATTTAGAAAAAGAGAGCGAAATCTCCCCTCCCACAACCGCTCCATCACATAAACCTGGGGGGGGCATGAGGGAGGGTCCCTTCCGATCCTCCCTCCTGACGCCCCCCCCAGCAGGCCCCCTCCCCCACCACTGAAAGCCATGAATTTTGAATTTGAGAGGGAGATTGGGTTTATAAACAGCCAGCCATCGCTCGCCGAGTGTTTGACTTCCTTCCCCGCTGTCTTGGAGACATTTCAAACTTCATCAATCAAGGAGTCGACATTAATTCCTCCTCCTCCTTTCGAGCAAACCTTCCCCAGCCTTCTGCCTAGCGCCTCCACCCTTCAGAGACCGGGGAGCCAAAAGCGAGCCGAGGATGGGCCCGCTCTGCAGCCACCACCGCCGCTCCCCGCCGCCCCCCCGGCTCCGGAGTTCCCCTGGATGAAAGAGAAGAAATCCGCCAAGAAACCCAGCCAATGCGCCTCGTCTCCTTCCCCAGCCGCCTCCTCGGTCCCGGCCTCCGGGGTCGGATCGCCCGCAGGTGGGTAAGCGGGGTGGGTGTGGGGGTGGGGTGATGGCCTTCGAGAAGAGAGGGGGAGAAAGAGCGGTGGGGGGAGGTAAAAAAGGTGGCGAGCCTGTTGGGGTTCCTTGCCTCCCCGGATTGCAGGGACGGGGAAGCAGAATATCCCTCTGGGGTTCAGGCCAGGCTGCTGCCAGCATTTTTTTTTTCCCCCTACAACAGATTCTGGGAGGTGGTTTGGGAAGAGCTTTTTCTCTGCTAGAAGAAAAGGATTCCATTGGGGTTTTCACCCGTACCTGTGTAGGGAAATGAATGTGCTGTTGCTGGGATTGCATCTGGGGCAGGAGGAGACGCGGTTTCCCCTCCTACAGTCCTAGCGGAAGAGGGGGAATTTGAGAACTAGAGAGAAAATGGGGTGAAGAAGAATCTTTATGAACCCTCTCCTGGGTTGAGTTGGCAAGTATCGAATTGAGGGGTAAACTCGGAGGACTTGGGAGGGGGACTTTGAGGTTCCGGGGCGAAAGGAGCAGCCCCTTGTCCCCTGCGCGGCCCGTGGGCGGCTCTCTGAATGCTTTGCCCTGGCCTGGGCCGGGACTACCAGGCGAGGAAGGGAGAGACGGGGAAACAAGCCGAAAAGCAGTGAGAATGAGCGGCTTTGGTGGGGCGGGACAAAGGTGTTGCTGATACTGTTTTTGACGGGGGGATAGCCTTCAGCTCAGCTGCATTGAGGGTGGGCGGAGGTCGCGGCCCGCTTTGACACCCAGACTGCTTTCCCGGCAGATGGTCCGGGACTGCCGGAGGCCGGCGGCGGCGGGGCGCGCAGGCTGCGCACGGCTTACACCAACACGCAGCTGCTGGAGTTGGAGAAGGAATTCCACTTTAACAAGTACCTGTGCCGGCCGCGCCGCGTCGAGATCGCCGCTTTGCTGGACCTCACCGAGAGGCAGGTCAAAGTCTGGTTCCAGAACCGGCGCATGAAGCACAAGAGACAGACACAGCATCGAGAGCCCTCCGACCGGGAGCCAGCCTGCCCCGGCGCCCTAGAGAACACTGACGACCCCGCCGAGGAGCCCGCGTCCGGACCGGGCGGTCCCTCCGACCCGCGGGCGACGCGGGAAGCCTGCTTTCACCCGCCCGAGGTCTCACCGGGGCCCGCAGGCGCCCGGGGCCCCCGGCCTTTTGCTGCTAGCGTGGAGGGCGCGGGGGCGCAGAGTCCCGGCTGTGCGCTGCGCCGGGCAGCTGGGCTGGAGCCGGAGCTGTTGCCAAAAGACGCCTTCCCCGAGCGGCAGGATTCGCCTTTCCTGCCCGACCTCAGCTTCTTCCCGGCCGACTCTTGTCTCCAGCTCTCGCCCACCTTGCAGGGCTCCCTTGATAGCCCGATTCCCTTTTCCGAGGAGGAGCTGGACTTCTTCACCAGCACGCTCTGTGCCATCGACCTGCAGTTCCCCTAACCCGTTTCCCCGGCCTTTTCGACCCTAGGCCCCCTTGGCCGTCTACAGGGAAAATCGAGGCTACCCTTCCCCCGAGTCCCATAGACTTCTTTATGTGTTTTGCTAAAATTCAGGTATTATTAAATTAGCGTTTAACCCACTCCCTTTTTTCTCTAAAATATTGGGCACTTGGGCTTCTTTTAAAACCCACGCAGAAAAATTCTGTTTGGTAGACTCCTTCCAACGAAATCTCAGGAATAATTAAACTCCGGGGGGCTTTCTTAAAAAGAACTAGAGGGACCTATTTTCCTTTTTTTTTTTTTAAGTTTTAGACAGTAGATTATTTATTAAAATTGTTTAATAATAGGAAAAGGGGAAAGTATTTATTGTACATTATTTTCATAGATTAAATAAATGTCTTTATAATACGAAAACGAGTAAGTGCTTGTGTTGGGACCCAGTCCCGTTCCTCGAACCCCCAAGGCCAGCCCTCTCCTCCAGGACTAGCCGCAAGGTTGGCTCTGTGGAGCCTCGGGATGCGGCGGCAAAGCCCTCTGGGCAGCGAAGTCCGGGTGGTACAAAGGTGGCCCCACTTGGTCACCGCTTCTCCGTTTGCCAACCGGGAAAGAGTCGAAGGTTTTCTGGAAATTCGGTCAGCTCCCCACCCCGCAACAGACGGCCTTTGGCCCTGCACGGGTGTTCCAGGGCCTCTGCTAAGACCTAAAGGTGGGCGGGTGGGCAGAGAGGGTGTACTGCAGCAGGAAGAGGGTGTACAGAGAGGAGGGCGGGGAGGTGGTGTTCCCCAGGCTTCTGCTTCATTGCTGTAAGAGGGGTGAAGGGGCTTTTTCAGAAAGTGGGCATCCTGAGGCCTGTGTGCATGGCCTGGGTCCTGAGGTCTGTAGGTATCCGAGGGTTGGAGTGAGGAGTAGGCGGATTCCTCCAAAAGCAGGACTCCATGCTCAGGGATGGGAACTGGCTTCCAAGTGGTCAAGAAAGAAGGCCGGCTGAGAATGTGGCGGTGCCGGACACCAGTGCTCTTCTGTCCCCTGTCAATCTGAGGCTGGGGTTGGGAGAGTGTCCGAGGAGCAGCGGGGCGACAGGCCCTGGGAGGCCCAGACAGCAGCAAGAGGCGCGTGGCAGGCAGGGAGGGAAGGAGGAGGAAGAGGAGACCGGGAGGGAGACGGGAAAGCAAGGAAGATGCTCAAAATGGCGCTGGGGCCGGACCGCGGGGAGGGCGAGGAAAGAGACTCCGGCCGCCATGACAGCCGCTTCGGCCTGTGCGGGGTCCAGCCCAGGGGATCCGCCCCCTCCCCCCTCCCAGATCTTCCAGACCCGAAGGAAGGGTTGGAGCCTGGGAGCCTCCCTTTAGTTTTTGTTTTGTTTTAAAAATGAACCCTACTGATGCTGAGGATGCGAGACGGAGGGAGAGGCCGCGTGGGTGCCGGAAGGGGAGGGGGTGATCCCGGGTCTGCGGGCCGAGGCTGCCTCTCAGGATCTGCCTTTAGATCCGTCGCTCAGGGATTTAAAGCCTGGCCAGAAGGTTCTCCAAATGCAGACCCACCTGCATTTTCCACCAACTTCGTTTTGCATCCCAGCACTCGCTCCTACACCCCACTGCACCCTGCCAGGCTCCTTGCAAACCCGCGATGCAAAGCTGGATCTCCCGCTTCTGCGTACTGGTTTGTTCCGCGGGAACGTGGAGATTTAAGGGGCCCCAGAAAGCCATCCATCCTCCTTAGGTTTATTTAATATTTTTCCGGCTCAGAAACAGACATTGCGGGGCTACCTTCACAGCAGATGCTGCTTTTCTCTGAAAGCGGTTTATTTCCTGGGCCTCCCAGACTTTCCCCTGGAACAGCCGGACGGGGAGGTGGGGCGGCAGGCACCGAGAGGCAGCAACTGTCAGGATAAGCCAGGAGCCAACATATGTCGTGACATACAGAACTAGACAAGCCATTGCATATATTTTTTAACGGACCCCTCATGGTGGGAAGTATACACATCTTATTCAGCTGAACTTTTATCCCTTAAACTGTCTTAATATGGAATCTATCTCCTGCACTAAATAATCTTATGTCATGTTAAATTGGACTTCTTTCTCTCATAAATAAATTAATATAGAACAATTAGATGCGTTATTATAATAATATCATGTATCTTATTAGTTTATTTTCCCTCATAAAATATATAGGTATGAAATAAATTCAAGATATTAAAGTAATAATACACAGCTTATTGGCTCGTGTGTTTATTTTCCCCATAAATAAGTGAATATACAATATATTAAAACCACACTATACATCTCATTGCGCTCTGTGTTTATTTCACCATAAAATATCCCCCCAGGCAGTGTTTCATGTCTTAAAAATCACAGCACATAAGCCATCTCTACACCAGCAAAATGAAATAGACATTTCAGCTAGAGACTTTGATTTCTGTGGATAGCCAAACTGGATAATTTGGTCTAATTAAAAATGCTCTTTCAGCTATAGCAGGTTGTTGCAAAGATCAGGGATACCAGAAGGATCCTGCAAATTGCTCTCTGGCTTTGTTTAGTCAAAAGGATAGCATCCTTCATCAATGGCCAAAAGTGCAAGATCTGAGATCATGACTTGGTTCTAGCAATATCCAGGAACCTCTGAGGCTTCAGTTCTCTAGGCCTTGCTACTCAATGTGGTGGTCCACTACCTTCGAGCTAGTTAGAAATGCAGAATCTTAGGCCTCAGTCCAGACCTACTGAATCAGAATCTGCAATTTAGCAGGTCCCCAAGTGATTTATATGTACGTTAAAGTTTGAGAAGCATAGCTATGTCACAGTGGCTACCTTGCTTCCTGCCTTCCTCCTATGCTGAAGAATTATTGACCCACTTTACCTTGCCACTGCCTTCTAATCCTCCTCTACCCAAACCAGTGGCCCAAAGGGTAAGGAATCTCTGCTCCTGCCTGAAGCTGCATCTGTCCTGATTCCTCCCTGCCAGCGTGAGTGGGGAGCCAGAAGTTTCCAGCCAAAGGATCAATCATGAAGATGTTTAGATGCAGATACTTGCGTATCCTGGGGTAAGAAGCTGTCAATCCAGGGAATCTAGCATTTCCCTTGGTTAATTATTGGAGAGGAGTTGGAAATCTTACAGGAAATAAGCCTTTCTCTTTCTCTCCTTTCCCAAATTCACAAAATGCACCATCTCTGATGCCACAACAACAGAACAAAAAGGCAATGCATTTCCTGACGGAAATGACTCCCCTGTTCAATCTCTTCATCCAACTTCAAATTCAAGGGAATGCCTAGGAATCTGGGATTCATGAAGGACTGAGATTTAGGATGCCTATGTTCCAAATTAGCTCCTTTCATCTCTGAGGCCATCCCTTTTAACCTCAGTGTTCCCAGCTGGCTATGGAGAAGGAAAGGGAAGAGGTGTGGTTCCAAGATAAGGCAGCAGATCCTTCTCCCCTGGGGTGGCATATTAGAGGGCAGTGCCAGGCAGCTACACTCACATTCTATCTTGATCTGGGCAGGACTTCAGGCAGGGCTTCTCTTGGTTCAGGACCAACTGTGGGTGGTCTGTAGCAGAGACTGGTTATAAATTGGTTGTGGTTGTAATGGGAAGGTTTCAGTGCAGCCCAGAAGGCTGCTGGTCAGTCTGCCCTGCTCTTGGTGAGTCATTCTTTTAAGAAGAATGGCTCATTTATATTATGGTGAAAGCAAAGGATCGTTAGAGTGAGGAATTATTTGCAATCATGATAACCCTAAGTCATTAAAAAAAAAAAAAGAAGAAGAAGAAGAAGAAGTTATGCCTGGACAAGTCCCATCCCCTTTTTGGATCTCAGTTTCTCTATCTTTAAAATAAATGGAAGAATTAAATGTTCTAATGTACTCTGCAATGATATATGCCAAAAGTATGTTTGTTAGTCTTCACAAACAATGTATTAAATATTTATTATGGCTGGTGTCCTATGTTCTTATATGGGGGCAGTGATTCTTGGTGTTTGACAATAACCCCCCTCCCAAGTACCTGGTTGGGCCATTTTAACAAATGTTAATTTGTATCTTTACACCAGCAATCATGCCCCAACCATTATTTAAATGAGTAGGGAGAGAAACCTTTCCAGCAAGCATTATTTATAGTGCTATGTGCCAGGCACCAGGTATTCAATAAAAATGATTATAAAGAGGTGTCCTAGCCCAGTTTTTCTCCGGTTTTCACCCTCTACCATCTTCTTCAACATTTGGTTGTGTTTACTCTTGCTTTAAAAGAGTGGGCCATTTCATACCAAAGAAGCCACCCAAATTCTTTGACATGGTGTTCCAGACTTGAAAAGTACCCTTTAGTCATGTTTTATCTGGTTGCTGGGGCGTCAGAACATAGACACAAGTTCTGGGTCTTCTTAAATAGCCCTGTTGAATCCCCCTATCCACCTTCCCTCCAAGTCTCTGAAAAGTACTTACTGGCACCACTGCACATCTTTCTGAAATGTGCTCTCAGTCAAACTCATATCCTCAGTTTGCAGAAGGTGGCTTCTAGGGCTCCACAAAATACTCTTTGCCTTCTCTGGCAGGTATGGCCCAGATCCTCCACTGACCTCCAACTGAGCTCTGCTCCCTACCTCCTCTATCCCTCTCTTCACACACAGTGGTGAACCAGATATTTTGTGCCTGAAGGAAATCCAACAAACTGCTTCCTCCTTAGAGTAGAGAGTGAAAAGTGAAGGAGCCCCATTAAGAACTTCTCATACTCCCAATGCTTATTCCCAAGAAACGTGATCTGATCGAATGTGGAAATTATCGAACAATATCATTAATATCGCACACAAGTAAAATGTTGCTGAAGATCATTCAAAAGTGGCTGCAACAGTATATCAACAGGGAACTGCCAGAAATTCAGGCTGGATTCAGAAGAGGATGTGGAACCAGTGCTATCATTGCTGACGTCAGATGGATCCTGGCTGAAAGCAGAGAATACCAGAAAAATATTTACCTGTGTTTTATTGACTATGCAAAGGCAGTCAACTGTATGGATCATAACAAATTATGGATAACACTGCAAAGAATGGGAATTCCAGAACACTTAATTGTGCTCATGAGGAACCTGTACATAGATCAAGAGGCAGTTGTTCAGACAGAACAAGGGGATACTGTGTGGTTTTAAGTCAGGAAAGGTGTGCATCTGGGTTGTATTCTTTCACCATATCTATTCAATCTGTCTGCTGAGCAAATAACCCAAGAAGCTGGACTATATGAAGATGAACAGGGCATCAGGATTGGAGGAAGACTCATTAACAAACTGCGTTATGCAGATGACACAACCTTGCTTGCTGAAAGTGAAAAGGACTTGAAGCACTTACTGTTGAAGACCAAAGACCACAGCCTTCAGTATGGATTACACCTCAACATAAAGAAAGCAAAAATCCTCAAACTGGACCAATAAACAACA